CATATTTGTAATTTCTAACATCATGTTACAGGAAGTGTACATCAACTATGACATTGAAAACTAGTCTGTGTGTGTAATTCAGATATCCAAACAGATGCAAATCCAATTGTCTGATGCTCCTAGTAGATATATGGTCACTGTTGAACGAAGAAAAATATGATCAGAATATTTTGAATGCGGTGGAGAAGATGCACAAGGTACCTAAGAGGATCAAGTGTACTTTCACCCACATAAGCAACAGCTGCAAAATGCATAACCGCATCAAACGCGTTTTCTGCAAAAATCCTGTTAACCTAAATGTTGGTTAAGAGAATGAACTGTAGGCCCTTTTGCAGTCAATAATATAGAAAACAACATCACTAGTTTGTTAAAAATCTGCATTATCAGGATACAGCTCTTGCATCGCCTAAATCAGCATAAATAAATTGAAGTCTCCCAGGTTCTGGAAACAGCCCCTCCAGAACTTTGATGGCTCCGATATTTCCTCTAGAAAGGTTGTCCTGTCAAATCATGGCTGAAAATTAATTATTGCTGTAGAAGTCTTGAATCCTTTTACATAAACTCTTATGAGGGTACAGAGATCACAATGATTTTTTCCCGAAAGTGTAGCATAAATATTATTACCACTATGGTTACTCTGTATGAGTCCTTCAATAGGCGAAGAGCAGCATGTGAACCAATATACCCAGCACCTCCTGTTACTAAAACATGGGTTGCTCCGACTTCACGACGTAAAAACTGCAAAATTAAAGATACACTGATGTCAACAACACCAGGGAAACCAAAAAAAGAAACAAGGAGGCACATGGATTTAGATTTACCATTCATACGTTAGCCATGAATTATAAAATTTTTGTCAGCATTTGCAACTAATTTGCAACGTAAAGTAAGCCTGCTAATATAATTGAATCTTTTCAAGAAGAGCACATCAGTGCTGAAGATCTATATGAAAGAAGTTACTCAGCAGAATTTAAGTTCTTTAGCTTTTATAGAAATTAAGACCAACAACGGCATGTAATATTAAAAGATATCTCAGACAGAAAGTCGCTAAATATATAAAACATTAGGGCACATCTCTCATCTCAAGTGTTCACTTGTTACGGATCATATCTAAGTGAATTGACATCATGAGCAAATGTAGTAGTTGAGATCTCCATATGCCTAGACCAGATATTTATCTCAATACCTTCATAATTTACCTGTTAATCAATTCATTTTTTCTCAATTTATCAATATCTATAAACGTAAACGGTCATGTTATCGAGTTCTCTAAGATAACCTCGGGGCTTCAAAAATTAACAAGTTGCTAGTGAGACAAAAAGTATTGTCATTTTTAGGATGAACAGTTTACTGCATTTTATTAATAATGAAAGAACTATATTGGCTTAATAAATAAATCAAACTTTAATAGCCAAAACTCAATCTGGATGTACATAGTCGTGTCATCAACTCATCTAACTTCCTCCATATATCAAATCAAGGAATCAAATTGCAAATTTGCAGTATCAGTTTCAAAAGTCAAACTGTGAAAGATGCTAATCAAACATGACCCGAAAGAGAAATTTCATGCATCGTCCAATATACTTTCAGCAAACACTGTCAAAAAAGTAAAGACTTGCGCAGAAAAGGAGTCAAGAGAGTACCAGGCTAGGTCCACTGAAAGCAGGGGATTGCTTCAAAATGAATATGCAAAAGGCAGTAAGAATAGCCACCATAACAAGTTTTGCAACAACCTGTGGTTTGCGCCTTGAATCTGAGTAGTCCATTCCTGTAATCTCAGTACATTTAGATCAAAGAAGAATTTATTGTCTATCTCAAAACAATGGTAGAAACTATATCTTGATGTGAATCCCTACCATGTTGATAGTTTCCAAGAATATACTGCTAAAATGCATATAATTCAAAGGATAAGAATGACTACCATGATCATGAGATCAAACCGGTGATCATATGGAATCAAACTTTACTGACTTCAAACCAATTTTATGGATTCTTATTAATCAAGAAGGATGTACTTCAATCATCAACAGAAGAGAACATAGAAAGTATACTAAGATATAGCTGAAACCTGGAAAAGACCAAGGACTACCAGCCCTGGACTGACTTCTGCTCCTATTGATGGGTAGCATGTGAGGAAGACCCTTCAAGTCAAACCACAAGGATCAAACATGCGGTACCCTCAGAGAAACTGGGGGTAAAACAGATTGCTCTTTTCCTTGAACTAACATGAAGTTGCCCACCAATTCCACACAGCTGTGGAACAAAGAGTTGTAAAATTTTAGAAGAAAAAACCAGTTGTTTCCACACTGCAATTGAGGTGGAAATAAAAGTCACTTCAAAAACGAACTTTTCTTAATTGTAAGGGATCCAAATATTGAGTAAAACAACAAGGAGGTCATCCAACCATGACAATCAATCAGACCCCTTTGGAGGCTTGGGATGCACCTTAACATAGACAGCATTAAAGTCTCAGCCATCTCAATCTACCAAAAATTGAAAGAGGAAGACCGCAGAAAACACCAAGATTCAGGAGAAAAGCACCTTACGAATTCAAGGACTGAAGAATGCGAATTCATACTTCCGCCTACGACGAGGAAAGCCTAATCTCCGTATAGTATGAAAGAACAAGTACAACGACGACAAGTAAACTGAAAGAAGAAAGAAAGATTCAACTTACACTCGAAGAAACCAGAAGAGGTTGCTTCAATTCCGAAAAGTAGAGACGATCTCATAAAGATAAAGAAAGCCAATAGAAAGAGGCGGACATATCAAGAGAACACGAACCCACAACGCCAAAGGAACCCCACCGCCCGAAAGGCACCAACCAAACCAAAAGGCCACCTTTAAGATCTCTACATAGGATCCGAGCAACAAGACCCCATTCCCGGAAGGAACGAGCGGCACACGGTAAAAAACCTAAACGGGGTTGCCACACCCCGCACGGAAAGAAACCCGCAAAAGAGTAACCGAAACACATCAAGATCCTCGCAGGGAAATCCACCGGAGAGAATTAACGCGCGATCAAAATCGAGTCTTGGCAACGGCGAAGGTACCTGGCAACAATAGAGGAACAGGTGAGGGGGAGAGAGAGCGAGGAGGGACCGAGAAGAGGGGAGGAAGGTTTGGGGGGAGATTGGACCAAGCCGCGGTGTGGACCATTTAGAGTGGTTGGGAAGAAGAGAGAGAAGAAATTGAGACATTTGTGAGATCTCTTTGACTCCCTCCCCTCCCATGTTCTTCCTATGAGGAGCTTTCCACAGACACAAGGTCCACATTTTGAGCCTTGATCTCATTGGATGCCTTTCCTTGGAACAGAGAGTGAAACAAACCCATTTTTCTTCCTAAATTTCATTTTATTTCTTCATCTAAAATTCTTTTTTTCCCCTTAATTATTGGTTAATTCTTCATGTTTAGGATCCTCTCCATTTCAAAAGGAATTGTAGAGTTCCTAATTCTTCAATGCTACACACATCACTAACAAAAAGATGAACAATTTACTCTGCTTTTGCATGTATTTGTTCCACAGGAAGTCTTGCTTAACACATAATAAGTATGACACTGAATCAATTGTTTTTAATTGCTCGACCCAACTTCTGATGTCAGTTCATCAATGAATTGATGCATTTGGAAGGAAGTGTCAATGTTCAAGAGGTAGGTGTTGACTTTGAAGTTTGCATTTGGTAACATTGAAGGATGAACAATAAAGGGGTCTTTGTGGTGGAGATTTGGAGAACCATAATGGCAATATAATTTACATTGGTATTAGCAACAATTTAATATAATAAGGTGGACATTCAAAGATGCTTTCTTAACAAAGTTATCTGAAGCACTTGTTGAACCATTTGATTGCCTAAACAAGTATCAGAACAGCAAAACATGAATCTGTGTCAGATCCACTTGGTTTGAAGTGAAGCTTCTATAACCAATAGATCTCTACATGATAAGCAAATGAAGAAGGTAGAAAACATTTTCCTCAAGAGATTGTTTCAAAAATCATCAGCACCTGATGCATGTAATGTCCTAAATTTCCATTACTTGGGTTAAAGTCAACCAGATGAACCACCATCATGAATTCTTTCTCGTTTTTTTGGGGGTCAAATCATGTCTCGAAAGAAGCCAAGCTGAGTTTAACAAGTCAAACTATTAGGAATAAAGCCACGAATGGCACTCCACCGATTCCCAATCCAAATCTTCTTCTCCTTCAAATGTTCTTCTCGAGTCTAAGCATCTGAAACAGCTTTGAGTCTGATGCTGAACCATCACAACTTGCCAAAGATGCCTGCTTTGGCATGTCCTCGTGGAAGATTTGGTGGCACTCTTTCTCTCCACACTCGAAAGTTTTGACACAGGTGAAACGAGAGCAAGATGAGATTGGGTTTGGTAAGGCCTAACTCACAAGTATTCTCATTGACTCGGGGATTACAGACAATGACCTGCCACCGGCCCTGCTTTGCTGGTAACTCTACACAAGCGGATGCCTGCAGCTGATGCAGAGCACACACATAGATTATGTCATGCACAGTCTCAGCAAATTCATGTTTGAGATCCTGTGATTGAACATAATGTGGCCTGTCACCAACCTTCGTTTGCAGATAACCCCATGGATGCTTGCATCCGATGCAGAGCACTTGATGATAACCGAGTTGAGCTCTCCTCAGCTTCCAACTCTTAGTGTTGGCTCACTACGTCGGACCCTCAGCCGCATGGACAAGCGTGGACGATCGAAGACGAAGCCGCCGCCGGGATTAGAAGGATCGGCTCCGCCGCAGCGGCTGTGGAGGACGCGGTCGATCGAGTTGGCCGGACGGGGAATGCTCTGCTCGTCTGGCTCTGTATGTATGCAATCTTTCATATATAACCCTCTAAATATGTTATTTTTGTTTTTTATTCCTCTAATTTTAGATTTAATATATATTAATATCGTACTGTAAGTCGTAACCCGTGAAGATGCCACGTGTCATCGCGGATCCTATCACACTTCGTTCGCTTCAAAGTCTCGGACGCGTCGCGACGCGACCGAACCCGATGCACTCGGCCCTACTCCGCCCTACGGCCGCTGCAGCCGCATTCTGTCGCCTCGGCCTCCGTTCCCTGCCTCCGTCCCGCCGTCCGATCCTCCCCCTGTCCGCCGCCCGGCTCTCGTCCTATTGTGGTGGTGCCATGGACGGCTGCGGCAGCTCCACGGTCCTCGTCCTGGCCGGCAAATCTCCGCAAGAGGACGACCTTGCTCGATTCCTCAAGTCCAGGAGCGACACCCTAAAGCTCCTCGACGAGGAAGCAGGGGAGGTTAGGGTTTTACTCCGCTCCGAGGCGTACCAATCCACTTTCGATCCTCAGTTCTATATGGGCGCCCTCACCGCAAGCCGCTTTGGGCGGCTACTCATCTGGTCCCCGAGGCTTCCCTCCACCCACGACCTTGTTTCAAAGTGAGAACACGGAAAGATCCCGTCTTTTCTTCTGATTCCCATTGCTCGAATCGTTTCTTGGATTTGAAGCCTCATATTTGATTTATGAGTCGTGGATAGGAACTTCGGTGAGCTGCCGGTCGGCACAGTCTGCGTCACGGATGTCCAGATCAAAGGCAGAGGTGTCGATCGAAAAAAATATATGGTTTTTGGTTTCCTCTCTCGGGGTGCGATGAAGTTTTCCTTTCTGATAAAGACCGTATATGTTGTTATTTGGCTCTGAAGGTCGGGCGAAGAATGTGTGGGAGTCGCCCATGGGCTGCCTTCTGTTCTCGTTCACGTTGCAGATGGAAGATGGGCGAAAGCTGCCGCTGTTGCAGTATGTTGTGTCTCTTGCGGTGACTGAGGCAATCAAGGAGTTGTGCCAAACCAATGTGAGCTCTTTCATCCTAATTATTACTCGTCCCCTGTGCCTTCTTGTTATAGTCTCTTTCGGCCTCGTTTTTAGATCGTTCCAAATGTGATCGATATGTGATGGTTTGGTTTGTGAAAAAAATATAATTTCAGGGATTACCACAGCTCGATATTAGAATAAAGTGGCCAAATGATCTTTATCTAAATGGTCTTAAAGTTGGCGGAATCCTTTGCACTTCAACTTACAGATCGAAGCACTTCAATGTTTGTGCTGGTAAACAGGTCTCTTTTTTCCATGTGATGGTGTAGGTTTCCAATACTTTTTATTTCTTTTGACTGCTCTGACCTTCTGAATATAGCAATAATGGATGAAGTTTTAATGGATTGAAAATTTACTTTGATGCTTTTCTCCTCTTTAACAGACTAATTTGATTTACCTGTTTCCTGCTTAGGATTTAAATTTGGATGATGACAACAGCTTAAGCATTTTGTTTGTAACCAGATAGTTTTTCCCTTTGGCTTGATGAATGGATAATTCTATGTTTATAGGTATTGGATTGAACTTGGATAATGAGAAGCCAACTACATGTTTAAATGCAGTACTGCAAGAGATTAACTCAGGTTCACTTTGCTTGAGGAGAGAGGATATACTTGCATCATTTTTCAATAAATTTGAGAATCTCTTTGAGGTTTTTCTAGATCAAGGTAAACTACTACATGATTCTTTCATTTTGTTCTTTTATCTCACTATTAATGATGACAATTGGTCAGTTCCAGATGATCTGTGTTAGTAGGCCCAACCTGAACTTGCTCTAACCCACAAGGGATCAAGGATTCTGGAAGAATGATGGTAACTTGGAATTTGACTGGTTAGGGATAGGTGGATTTGTATTAGACCAGGTTAATTGTCATATCAAGATAAGTTTCTTAATTTGTATGGAGGAAAATTAGGTCGGACTAGTCCAATTCTATTTAAATTTCTATCCGGCTCGAACTTGGCTGAGCTCATCAACTTGTAAAAGTTCCTTGAGCTTAAATTTAAGTTTGATCAGATCCATGTTAATCCATCCTCTGTATCAGGATTCTTTACACCTTATCTGAAGTATGTATCTGTTTAAGGTCAATCGTATCACTGCCTTCGTGTTAAAACCAAAGAGTTTAACACAAAGCTTAGTTAGATTGTATTAGAGATGGATTGGCTTACTCGGGTTGTATGTAGCTAAAATAGCTAAAATACAATTTGTAAATAGTTACATAACTCATAGTCGTTCATATTCTAATTTTTTATGGTCTATGCCCTATATTGTCTAATCTTGTTTGGTTTGGTTATACAAGGTCTCGGTTGAATTTATGGTTAACATTATGGAATTAACTTGGTTACCCAATTAGCTTTAACGCTTTTTCTTTTTCTTCATCTGATTATCTGGGTTTAAATACTTCCATTGTATGATTTTGACCCTTCTTAACTCTTGTGCACTTCATGTATTAAATCTATAACCACCAATTTAACGCATAACCCTTAGCTTAGCCTGAGGAATTTGTGGTTGAAACTGGTTGAAACCCATAGAATTGTTTTCAATCATATATCTGCCATCCATTTACTGCTTTTAGTTCTTCTCAGAAATTCATATCACCATGCTTAATTTGAAGGTTCAGTTATAGAGTGAGAACTCCTTTGGATGCATTACAATTTTTTGGCTGGAAGCCAAAGTGGTTACCATGGCTAGCTTTCATGTCATAGATGGTTGACCTTCCAAACTCGGGGGTGATTCTGTAGTGCATCTTGCTTCAACATCATTGCCAATATGTTTTTTCACCCTCCTTAATGAGGCTTCTTTTTTGTGGTTCCTTGCCCTGTTCTTATAACAACAGCTAGTAAGTCAATGTTTAGAAACTTGTAACTGTATCGGGTTTTGTTTTCTTGCCAGGCTTTCAGTCTCTTGAGGAGCTGTACTATAAGACATGGCTTCATAGGTATATTACAATTCCAAAATCATTCTTTTATTTTTATTCATGCACTTGTAAATACTTTAACTTTTTCTTAAACTTCTCTGATTTTCCTCAATAATTTCTTTAAAGCAAGTTTAATGCAGTACATTTTCTTCTTCCTTCTCTTTCTATGAAGATATGTGCAATAAACTTGTATTGGATATACTTAACTTGCAAGGTGTAATGTATCCATCTACTTAATAATTAATTTGAAATGATTTGATTACATAAATGTTTTACTTGGATGATTAAGCTTGGAAATATACTCAAAGTTTTTCTCCCATCATAGCATAATATAAATTCAGAAGTTAGACATGATCCTGTTACCATAGCTTACCTAGATCAACAAGATGATCACTTGCTATCATGAGGCACGACCAACATTTACTACAAAATTTGAATAGCCTACCCGCTGATTGGAAATTGACTAAACATATTATTCCATTTTTCAAAAAAAGTTTAAGAATCTAGATTCCATCCTTCTTGAATTCATATTATTCCTACGTATGATTCTTTTCAGTGATTTAAAATGCGCTAGGCGCCAAGGTGTCATGGACAAAGTTCTAAACAGAATGTTTGATGTAATACTTGTGTATGTCCGTGTCTTTTTGTTTGTTTATGTTTTGCACAGCATGTAGAGGAACGATTGAAGGCTTAACAACCTCATTTTAGTTGAGTTTGATAGCCTTCTTAGGCTTGTAAATAAATATTGTGTCATGTGGACACTTGTGAGAGATATTCGGTCTGTAGTGGACCATTTTGACCCTTTATTGTGTAACCATTCAGAGCTTGTAAAGTCTGTTTGTAATTTGCATTGTCTATGAAGTATTTTTTGGAATGTTTACTTGTGGATCACGAGTGAGACACTTTCTCTAACCCGTTTTCTCTTTTGTAGGTCCTAAGGGACCATGGGAGGTTTCGGGGAGGCTGACTTTTGCGGACGGACACGCAAGGGTGCCGCACGACTTAGGCAAAACCAGCTAAGTCCATGACAGATGGTATTAGAGTGGGACAAGCACTCATAGAAACACTTGGCATGCAAATGTGGGGGACCTAGCGGGGCTGCGTTGAGGGCAATCAGCACACTCGTGACCGTTTGGGGAAAAACGGGCATGGAGATGTAGGGAAAATGAGTCGCTCGGAGGAGCGGGCATCTGAGATTGACATTCAGAGGAATGGCCAATCCTTTGCGCAAGAGGCACCACGAGAACAAGCAAGCTTGGAAGAATGCGGAGTGCACAAAGGTTGGGATGGCTGAGTTCGAGCTACGGCTCGACGTTGACAATGATACTTGATGGTGCTCAAGGCAAGCGAGGCGCTTGGTAAAGGATGAGACCATGCAAGGTGGAATGAGTTGCTCATCGACCGAAAGAGTTGTGCAAAGCTCACAGAGGTGAGGGGAATTGCTAACTCGAAGAATTCGGTACTCATGCATGGGCTTATATATGGACGATAGAAGCGTAGAGAGATGTTGCTCCAACGGGACAGTTATCCAGGAGGGGTAGATCCCGGTTCTCCAGAGGTAGAATCATGTGTAACAGACCGCATATGTTGAGGAGAAGTACCTCAAAAACAATAACTCCATGAAGCTCAATGGATCGAGTGAGCGGCGAGGAGTCATCGCATGATCTCACTTGAGAGAATGCATTGGTGGATACATTGCGAGATCAAGTGGGGGAGCGACCCAAAGCAACACAAATAAAGGCACACTTGGAGTCGATATAGAGATCGGACTAAAGGGAGGGCTACTCAGTGGAGTAGGCGGCAAGGTTGATGGAGAAGACGGTACAATCCCAGAGGCGACCAAAACTATTAGAAACTTACTTCAAGTTGGGGTAAAAACTTTCTGCATTCCAGAAGTTCTATGGCATTGAGAAGGTGAATCACAGTAGCTAACTCAACGCAAGGAGTGCAAACACTTCGAGTGCTTCAGAAGTGTGAGCAAAGAGCAGGCGAAGGCCAGTAACCAGCTCGATGCATGGAATATAACCCTTGAGGAGGCGGGCGAAGTCAAGTAACCATTGTCTTCTCAACTCTTAAGAGAATGGGCGAAACCGAGTACCCCAATTCTCTTATCTATCCAGCAGAGGAGCTCTGCATAGGTTCAAAGACCCTTCAAAGATATTAGAAGACAATAGTTGTCAAATCCTCACCAATGGTGATCAGTGCTACTGAGAGTAGATTATCCGCTTCATTTCCCAACAGAATGCCAATCGAAAGCGGAAGTGATGCGAATCTACTTGGAAGTGACAACTAAGTGAAAGAAGAGTCGATGAACAAATTTTGTGGAGGAATGACCCAAAACTTCAGAAGTTTGCGAGGCGATGCTCGTTAAAGCTCCAACAAGCATCCACCCAGTTCAAGCAACATGAGGCATTTGAGAGACTGGCGCATAGTAAGGATGGTTTTTTCCTTTATCTGGAGGATCCGCAGGAACCAACAGGGATCAACACAACTCAGCCAACCCCACACTAGAGTCAGTCATTGGCGAGTTGAAGCAGCATGGCGGATCAAAGGTTCCGACTACTCAAAAATAACAGCGGAGAGCAATTGGGAGTCAAAAGACGCATTGCAGCTGGAGCAAAAGATTGAAGACTCAGTAAAGGCGAGGAGTTGCAGTGTCGGCAAAGGCTTCGACGAGGACGTCGAAGGAATAAGTGGGGGAGAATGTCACGAACAAAGTTCTAAACAGGATATTTGATTTAATACTTATGTATGTCCGTGTCTTTCTATTTATTCATGCTTTGCACAGCATGTAGAGGAACGGTTGTATGCTTAACAACTCCATTTTAGTTGGGTTTGGTGGTCTTCTTAGGCTTGTAAATAAATGTTGTGTTATGTGGACACTTGTGAGAGATATTCGGTCTGTAGTGGATCATTTTGACCCTTTGTTGTGTAACTGTTCAGAGCTTTTAAAATCTGTTTGTAATTTGCATTGTATATGAAGTGTTTCCTGGAATGTTTGCTTGTCGATCCCGAGTGAAGCGCTTTCTCTAACCTGTTTTCTCTTTTGTAGGTCCTAAGGGACCATGGGAGGTTTCTGGGAGGTTGACTTTTGCGGACGGACACGCAAGGGTGCCGCACGACTTAGGCAAAACCAGCTAAGTCCGTGACAAAAGTTCCAAAACGCCCGAGGCACTAGGTGCTCGCCTGAGCGAAGCAAGGCATTCTAAAATATTAAAATATAAAAAATATATAATATTATTAATATATTAAATAAAGATTATTTTGTATAGTAATTAATAATATATTATTAATAGTATATTATTTACTGTTAATAATAGTTAGAAGAGAATAGTATAATTGTTAAAAGGGATAAAAAATATCACCTAGTGAAACCGATAGTGAGAAGTTAGAACTCAGAAGAGAAGCAACGGTGAGAAGCAACGGACAATAGCCGTGGTAGCGAACAGCAGCGGCAGCAGTAGAGTCGTGGACAGCAGTAGTGGAAGTTGAGGAGACTCAATCAACGACAGAGGAAGACTCAAAGGCAGCGAGAGAAATTGTTGGCGATGGAGACAGAGGGAGAAATCGTTGACGGCGGATGTAGAGGGAGAAATCGTCGGCAGCGGAGGCAAAGGGAGAAAGCGCATGCTAGGTTGGTAGTTGGGGTCGCGCGCAGGTTTTGAGGTAATTGTGTGCGTTAGTTGGTTTAATCGAACCAACTAACGCACATTTAACCAAACCCGGTTGCCTTATATCAACGGGGCGCTCGCCTGAAGCACCTAGTGCTTGGGCTTAGGCGAACACCTAGGCAACGCCTTATTGAAGCGCATCGCCTAACCCTTATATGAGGTGCTCGAGCCTCGCCTCGCACGAGCACCTAGGCAAGCACCCGAGCGCCTTTTATATCATTGATTCTTATCACAGTATTCAAGATGGACCTCGGAGACCCAAAAATAATTTAGACCAATTATAAGGACATTCATCTAAGAAGTAGTTTTACGCATCTTCATAAGTCTAGTAAAAAAAAAAACTCATTTGTTTGTGGAGTCATTTAAATTCCTTTGTTAGTGTACATTTTTTCACATTTCCACATCTGTGAAAACAGAGTTAGCATCTGCTTATGACTTTTTTTTTATAATTATATTGTTCAAGGACCAAATGGTTATTGTGGTTATTGAAACCAAAACTTGAATTTGATATATATTTTTTCTTTCATAACTGATGGTTTGGTCTTGGTGATAGCTTAGGTTGCGATGACAGAACAAATCCTAGAAGTTTCATCTCATTGAGAAAGTCACATAAGTGTAGGAGCAAGGGAATGTATAGGGAACTCAGTTTTTATTGGCTTGGAGCACTCTTACCACTAAGTAGGCTCTGTCATGATCACAAGACAATTTCTTGTTACAAAAGACCCTTCAGAGAGCTTTATTGCTTCAACTAAACGTGCTTAGATAGGTGACTTGTGAGTTGCAAATTGCAACGAGTGGTTTCACTGAGCAATCTGATATTCAGTTCTGTAGGTTTGGTGTTAATAACTTTTTTTCATTGCAGAATTAACATAAGTGGCTAGTTATATGGTTAGACATGGCAAATGTCCAACTACAGAAAAAACACATTGCACATGATGATGGATCTTCAAGTAACAATGACATGGCAATCATTACATTTTGTTGTTTGTTTCACAGGAAATGAGTGTTTGATCTCTTAGCTACATCAAAGTGATGTTCCAGAAGGGAGACACATTATAATTAACCAGATTAGTTACTTGAAGTTGTCCACTTATATAATTGACATTCCACAATGAAATAAACCCTTACCTGACTAGCATGACAATGCAGACAAGAAATTAATGGGTGAAGAACTTGGCATTGATTTTCTCTTTGTTCTTTGTCTTTCTATGTGTACACATTTTCGACAACCTCTTATCTGCTTTCTTTTCCATTCACACGCTTTTGTTGGTATCATTGCATATAATCTGATAAGCTCTTATGTTTAAAAATGCAGTGGTCAGAAGGTTGTCATAGAAGAAAAACAAGAGGGACAACCTGAGGAAAGCATTATAGTTACAGTTCAGGTAAATTTTGCAATTGTGAAATTCTGAAATAACTGTTCTAGCTTATCTAATTTGGCTTATTCTACACAGGGATTAACATCCTCAGGATATTTATTAGCTGTTGGTGAGGACGATAAGAGTTATGAACTCCATCCTGATGGCAATAGGTATATTCTGTGTCATCTTACATCTTTAACAAATGATAAATACCATTCTATGCTTATGCTGAGTACAGATGCAGCAATCGTCTGTGTCCTCTTTAAATCTTTGACAAACGGTACAGACTATGTTATCCTACATGGTCTAATTAAAGAGGCAGCATGCCTGCCCTCAATTGTGAAGTATTTCTGTTGTTTATGAGTTTCTTTTTGTGAAAGATATCTGAGCATCAAATCCGTGGAAGGAATTGAATCTCTCATCATCTTGATGCATGATTTAAAAACTTGTTAACTTGAAACTTAGCCAATGTAACTCCAACCAAATTTTTGGTTTTAAGTTGGTGCCATACTCGGTTGCCTGAAACTTGGAGTCGAACTCAATCGACTCATAAATTTCTTGATAGACATGAGCTATAGAACTCATTGATGGCTAACATCACAAAACTATTGTTTTTTAAATGATTTAAACATTACTTTGCTTGCCTTGTCTGATAGTCAACTAAAATTTGATACATCTATTTGAGTTACTTTTCTCACTTTATATATATATATATATATATATATATATATATATATATATATATATATATATATATATATATATATATATATCCTTGTATTTGTTTATAGTCATTATATAGAATTGTGAGTGTTTACCTGCCTATTTGATGCATGCAGCTTTGACTTCTTCAAAGGACTGGTTAGGAGAAGGTTGGAGTGAAGACTAAGAAATTGTGCAGGCAGCAAACAGCACTAGCGGATGTGAGAATTTTGGTGCTTAACCTTCTCAATAAATTACAAATACTCTTAGTAATTAAAGATATGACTTGACAAAAGACTCGTGTAATCAATCAATCTCAAGTAGTTGAAACATTATGTTTTTTTTTTTTAATTATTGTTGTTGTTGTTGTATGTTCGTCAATAAACTAATCAAATAATTGAACTGATTTCAGAAGTTTATACAGTGACAAGTCATTCTTGTCCATCGAAATCTTGTTAAATTGTATAGAATAACAAATTATTGTCTTCTATTTGGTGTTGGTGGGTGATGAACACTGGAATACCAGTGGGTTATCATCATGTATCGTTTTCTCATCTATACAATGTTTGAATGTGTGCAATTTTTTCCACTTAAGTTTATGTTTCCTACTTGTTATCCATGAAGATAATAGATAGATACATACATTGGAAAATCGATTGGAACTTAGAAAGAAATATACAACAATAAATAAATACTTTTAGTTTGTCGTAATTGAGCTATAGATGTATTTAAATTTTTATTTATAGGTTCTAATAAAAATCTGTTTTTAGGTCTATCTCTCCTAACACAATTAATATTAGTTATCTTTAATCTTTTAATTATAGTATTTTTTATGTCTCTTTATCACATGTTTATTATGTTTATGAATAAAAAATAATTTATTTTATTTGTTTATGTACTCCATAAATCCATCTTAACAGTACTTATTTTAATATGTATTATTTCTTAATTAGCACAACATTAAGAATTGACATGTAGAATTTTTCATTCGATTTAAACGATAACCGATGACATCAATCCCTCTTCAATTTAATCCTCTTCTTTATATTATAAAGAATGCTTTCATCAATCTCTTTTTATCTTATTGAATAAATCATTTATAAAATCTAAAACTTCAATTCATCACAGGAAAAAAAAAAACAAGTGATACTAACAAAACAACCGACACAATTTTGGATAGGGCAATGTGCATCATAAACAACATGCAGATAGTGAGATTTCACATGGACCATACAGGTTTAACAAGTAGCAACGTGAAGAAATCAACAGGCACAAGTACCCCTCTCAAGCTGCCTCTTCCTCTTCCTCGTACTCTTCCTCCTCGTCGTCTGCTGTTGCATCCTGGTATTGTTGGTACTCGGCAACCAGATCGTTCATGTTACTCTCGGCCTCTGTAAATTCCATCTCATCCATGCCTTCGCCGGTGTACCAGTGCAAGAAAGCCTTCCGCCTGAACATGGCCGTGAACTGCTCACTCACTCTCCTGAACATCTCCTGGATGGAGGTTGAGTTGCCAATGAAAGTGGAAGCCATCTTAAGCCCCTCGGGAGGACTGTCGCATACGCTGGATTTGACGTTGTTGGGAATCCACTCGACAAAGTAGGATGAGTTCTTATTCTGAACATTTATCATCTGCTCATCGACTTCCTTAGTGCTCATCTTACCTCGGAACATGGCTGAGGCAGTAAGGTACCTGCCATGGCGGGGGTCGGCGGCACACATCATGTTCTTGGCATCCCACATTTGTTGGGTCAACTCGGGAACTGTGAGGGCACAGTACTGCTGGGAGCCTCGTGATGTCAATGGTGCAAATCCTACCATGAAGAAGTGGAGGCGAGGGAAGGGAATAAGATTCACCGCAAGCTTCCGGAGGTCAGAATTAAGCTGGCCAGGGAAGCGAAGGCAGCATGTCACACCGCTCATGGTGGCAGAGATCAGATGATTAAGATCGCCAACTGAAATGCAAAGATTAAATAAATAAGAACTGAAGATTAGCACAAGAGAAACCAAGATTAAATGAAAAGGTTACAGTTCTTGTGACCATTACTAGTGCTGCCACACATCAAAACCCTTTAACTTTGGAAAAGCATATAGGCATAATTTAGAAAGAAAAAAAAAAGGAAATATGGAAAAGCATACATAGCAATTCCATTGTCCACAGTAGAAACGAAAGCAGCAGTCATAGAACAGAGATGCACAGGCCATAAAGGTAGGTGAGATAGATGTAAAGATCTTAACTGTGATAAGAAATAACCTGAAGAATTTCAGAAAATTAAACATGATTATGTTATGTGCTAAAATTACGTTAGAGAAATCGATAAATGAATCAAGCCATGCTTAAGATCTACCAGATGGATCAGAACAGAAAACAGAGGAAAGAGCAAATAGGCTTTTGTATATGCAACAATAAAAGCAACAGCAGACGTGCGTGTTAAGAATGTAAACATTCAGAAATGTAAGTAAATGGTATTAAAGATGGATGTCGACGGTCATAGCATCTGATTATAATGAAAGAGCTGTTCTCGTTGATAGGGTTTACTTACAAGTAGGAGTTGCAAGCTTCAGAGTGCGAAAGCAGATGTCATAGAGTGCCTCGTTGTCCAGGACCATACATTCATCAGCATTCTCAACAAGTTGATGAACGGACAGTGTGGCATTGTATGGTTCCACCACGGTATCTGATACCTTAGGTGATGGAAAAACAGAGAATGTTAGCATCATCCTGTCTGGGTACTCCTCTCTGATCTTAGAGATAAGAAGGGTGCCCATTCCGGAACCCGTTCCTCCTCCCAAAGAATGGCATACTTGGAATCCTTCAGACCAAAAGGGAACAAAATCAGAAATTTTACATGCAGCTATAAACAAATCAGGTGGAACACAGTAAAACATGAACTAATTTTTCAGAATTACATAAGACACTTCACTCATTTGGCAGCAAATCTTGGTAGAAAGATGGAGAAACATGGATAGAACCAATTTTTATCCGGAATCCCTTTGCCCTTCTCTCCAGAAGTGGAGAGATTTGGAGAGGCAGGAAGAACATTAAGTGATAGCTTCTCTTTTTGCTGATCCAAACCAAGTTAACTTTTCTCTTTTAATTTCTCTTCTGCCCTTGCCTTCTCTTCTATTCCCTTTTTCTCCACTTATTTATTCTCTTCTCCTTTGGTTACTATCCAAACAGATATCCAACTACTTTGATGCATTTCCAGACTCAAAAATAAAATATTTTTAGCTCTTCTAATTTGATATAAGATACTACCACTACAACAACAAGGTCACAACTACTTGGATTCGGCTAATTTGTTACAAATGAAAAGGAAAAAGATGCTTGACGATTCATAGATACAAACATCTATTTGCACATGTTATTAAGACAAAATACATTAGACTACAAATATGTCAAAGACATATATTATTTCAAATATACTTAAAACTTTCTTTTCTCTCTTCTCCTTTCAGGAAAATCTACTTGAGCAAGAAAAGAAGATTGAATAGGGTAAAGCCTGTCGGCACCAAGATGGCTACATGATTGTGAAAGAAAACAAGAAAATTCATTTAGTTTCAGTAAACAAACTTGAATCGTAGGTAATAAATTCCCAAAGTAATTCTCAAAATCAAGAAATAGAAAACCTAATTAGTCTCATTTCTACTCTTTACAAATATCAAAGCAATAAAGAAAAATGTCGAACATTACGAACAAAATATAAGTACAAAAATGAAAGTACCTTGCAAGCAATCGCAGTTCTCCGCCTCCTTGCGGACGACATCAAGGACAGCATCGATGAGCTCGGCGCCCTCGGTGTAGTGCCCTTTGGCCCAGTTGTTTCCGGCCCCGGACTGGCCGAAGACGAAGTTGTCGGGCCTAAAGATCTTGCCCACGGGACCGGATCTGATGGAGTCCATGGTGCCGGGCTCGAGATCCATAAGGACGGCGCGGGGGACGTACCGGCCGCCGTTTGCCTCGTTGTAGTATACATTGATCCGCTCGAGCTGGAGGCCGGAGTCGCCCGTGCAATTACCGGTGCTGTCGATGCCGTGCTCCTCGCAGATCACCTCCCAGAACTTAGCACCGATCTGGTTACCGCATTGGCCACCCTGTATGTGCAGGATCTCCCTCATACTCACCTGCCGGAGATCCCAAGGTCGCTAAGTTTAGGGTTCGGAGCGACGGCGAAGGGAAGAGAGGCGAAGAGGAGAAGTAGGCGGAGAAGACGAATGGGATCGGAGACTCACAACCGCCCCTATTTATACCCGAGTTAGTCGTGCTTACCGATTATTTAGGAATTATTTTTAGGAGAAATGGTTCACTTCGCAGAATGTGATACAACTTAAGCTACGAATCACGATTTAGACGCACATCCTTCCGTCGCGACGTAACTCGGACGATGTACGCAACGGCGTCAATCGCCGTTCACAGAACGAGGATGTTAACGACCACCTGGCTCCGGTTTGGCGCGGGAAAAAAACGCTCTTTCGCCTTTGTAACACAGCGATATATGGCGTGCGAACCCGTTATGGACTCTTCGGTAAATACCGGTTTCCAAGTTTGACTTGTCGATGCCAAGAACAGTGAACTCGGCATCGGATGTCATGATCTACACACATCACAGTTATATCTGGCGTTGGATGAAACAGTAGGTGACGTTTGATTATTAAGGTCAACACACACACACACACAAGACAAACAAATAGAATTCTCTAGCTAGTTTGTGGTTCCTAGAAATGAGCCTGAATCCGATCTATGATCTTCTTGTCCACCTGAAAGGCCTTAGCGAGGATATCATCCGAGATGGCTGGTTTGGACCCGAAGACGGAATTGGCGATGGTGATCACCCCCGGATTTTGGCTGCTGAGACCGGAGAGTGCGACGGCCTTGCTGGTGCCGTAGTTGAACTGGAAGTGGATGAGGCCTTGGGGGAACACAAACACATCACCCTTGCGAAGCACTTTGGTGACGAGCCTGTTGTCGGGGTTGGAGGTGACGAAGCCGACGTAGAGCGAGCCTTCCAACACCGTTTGGATCTCCGTCGCCCGGGGATGGATGTGAGGAGGGTTAAGGCCAAACGGCGCGTAGTCCACCCGGGCCATGGAGATGCCGAGGGTGTTGAGGCCGGGAATTCGGTTCACGTTTAGGAGCGTCACGTTGGAGCCGACTTTGTTGGTGGTGTCGCGAGGCTCGTCGAGACCGGAGAAGAAGAAGTCCTCGGCCTTGACGAGCTTCGGATCCTTGCAGACAAATCCGTTGACGAACACTGCATGGGTCGAAGCAGGAATCAACATCTCGATCCATGATAATAATCAACCCGATCACAGGTACATTAGATAAGCTGTTAGTATACCATTGGACGTGTTATCTGCGACACACAGGTCTTGGAGAGCACCGGGATCACGGGCCATGGTTGGGGAAGAAGCCAAAGCAAGGAGAGCAGCGAGGAGGAGGGCGTAGGCTGCAGCCATGTCTTTGAATTGTTCCGCTACGTAACGAGAGCAAGGAAGTAAAGAGAGGAAAGGATCACGAGAGCTTTTGTCGTTGGATGCAGATAGCATGAGCAGATGGATACATGTATATATATCACATCGGAAGAGTTGACGCTTTCCCGTTGAACAGGAAATGATAGGCGGCAGCTGCAAGAAGGAGTCAATCGCAAGTGATATATACTAGTAATAATAATCAAATGTTTGATGCAGTCCATCCTCTGCTTCACCACGTAACATCATATGCACGCGGAATTATTGATAGCAGCACCAAAGAGAAAGAATGTTACGCTGTGACTGCATCAAACTTGTACTTGTTCTTATCGGCACATGCGAACAATGACTTGTTCAATCAATCATATGCCGGCGGGATATTGTTGATCGATCGTTCACAGCTACTGTAAGCCTTCCTGTTGAATGGGAAAGCATTACTGTGTCAACGCTTTCTTATTGCCAAAAGTCTCTCTATCTGTAGATATCCATCCATCTGCTTCCTCCTCGTTCTACCACCAACTAGTAAAGTTCTCTCTTGGCTCCGTCTTGATCACCAAACACTGTGCAATGAGCATAATATTATTGATTCTTAGGCCATTTGGCAATCGAACTTGCAGAATTGTTGATTCCTTGACACTGTCATGTGATCTAAACTTATCCTAATTGTGTTCTTACACCTCCCTCTTTAAGAGACTTCTATGTTACATAACATTTGGTATCAGCATACTGTCTTCAGCATACAATACATACTATCAAAGGAGTATTAGCAGATTGTAAAAATTAAAGCACCGGAGGCAATGTTGATGGATACACACAAAAAAAATAAAGTTGGAAGAACAAAGATTGAAAGATCCAAAGGCAAAGAATTATCTTTTCCAAGCGATTGATCACCGAATCTTGAAAATAATTCTTTGTAAGGATACTTCCAAGCAAATAGTTTGGGCTTTGATGGTAGTCTTCGGGATCTATTGAATGTCGAATTCTTCAAGCTCGACCGACCATTTGAGCATCTGTCCTGATATATCGAACTTGGATAGAATCTGACGTAGTAGTTGATCGGTCACCACCTTTATCGTGTGGGCTTGAAAATATGGGCGCAGTTTCTAGTCGCTTGTGCTAGGGCTAATGCCAATTTCTCGATCGGTTGGTATCATCCCTTGGGCCCGTTCAAGATGTGGCCAGTGTAGTAGATTGGTCATTGTGTTCCTACATCATCTCGGACTAGGACCGAACTAACTGCGTGTTTGGACTACACGAGGTAGAGGCTAAGCGGTTCGCCCAAGATGACCAAGGCAAGTTGAGGTAGCTAAGTGAGATATTCCTTGAGATTCCCAAAGGCTTCCTCACATTCAGAATTCCACTTGAAGTCTTTGGGATGCCTTAAAGCTGGAAAGAAGGGAAGGCATTTGTCTCCCAATCGGGATAAGAATCGGGTAAGGGCGGCTAGCCTTTCTGTAAGGCGTTGCACCTCCTTAGCCGAGCAGGGGTGCAACATATCAGTTATAACTCGAACCTTTTTGGGGCTATCCCCCTCTAGTGAATGATGAAGCTGAGGAACTTACCAGAATCGACTCTGTAGGCACACTTAGCGAGGTTGAGATGTATGCTAAACTTCCTAAGTGTTTGGAACGTCTCAACCAGATATGCCAGATGGGTGCTAGCGAGCTTGCTTTTCATGATCATGTCGTCAACGTATACCTTCATGTTCCTCCCGATCTAGTACTTGAACATCTTGTTAACTGTTCTTTGGTATGTTGCTCTAGCGGTCTTCAGCCCGAAGGGCATAACCTTGTAATAGTAGACTCCTCGATTTGTGATGAAGGCAATATGCTCTTGATCTTCAGGAGCCATTTTGATTTAGTTATATCCTGAGAAGGCATCCATGAATGTAGGAGCTCGTGCCCCGAGGTTATGTCGACCAATTGGTCAAACCTCAGGAGCGGGTAGCAATCCTTCAGGCATGCACAATTAAGATCGGTGTAGCAACACATATCTTTTAGCTTCTATTAGATTTTTTGACAAGGACTACATTGGATAGCCATCAAGAATACCTTACCTCGAATATGAACCATGCCTCCAATAGACAATCCACCTCATTACTGACGGCTTTCTGTTAGTTGTGAGAAAACTTTCAAGGCCTCTACTTCACCGGCCGCACTTGGGGGCAATTATTCAGGTGGTGTCGTACTACCTTTGGATCAATTCCCAACTTGTATTTTGGTGACCAAGCAAAGACATCGACATTTTTTGTCAATAAGTCAATGAGTTGGACTCATTCTTTTTCTAGGAGCTCAAACCCGACCTTCACAAGTTTGTCTAATCGACTTTTGCGTAGGGGGACATCTAGTATCTACTCGGTTGGCTCAGGACGATGTGATAATTTGGCAACATCTTGGGGGTTAGACACATGCAGCTTGGGTTTTAGCTTCTTACGTAGCATGACAGCTGCCAGATTGCATTGCCTTGACTCCCGAGGATCACTCCTTCTCTATTCCCAATGCAAGTTAGGAACTTTATTGCCCAGTGATAGGTGGAGATGACAGCTCTTAACTTGTTAAGAGTCGGGCAGCCTAGGATGATATTATATGCTGAAGGGAGTCCGACCACTATGAGGTGACCATCATAGTCTTGGACCTCGGTTCCTCCCCAATGGTGACCGATAAGGTGGTAGTGTCGAGGGGCGAGATAGAATCTCTAGTGAACCTAGTGAGAGTCGAGGCCATAGGAGCTAGGTATTTTCTAGCTAAGCCAAGCTTCTAGAAGGTGTTGTGGTACAATACTTTGGCTAAGCTCCCGGTATCTACCATTATCCTTTTGACCTGGGCATTGGTAATCCTGACTGAGATCACCAGGGTGTCGTCATGGTCGGGGTGCTTGACTTCCCCCGTTGGGAAGGTGATCTCGGGCTCATCCCATTACTTGGGACGCCTTTCCACAGTTGCTCGGGTGTAGGCATTTTATGTCGATGCGATGTCTCATCCCAAAGTAGACCACCGATGATGACATCAATCTATCTTTCTACAAGTCCCGGGGGGTGCGGGGAGGATTCTCGTGGCTTCTTAATGTAGCATCCAAGATGCCCCCTACGAATGAGCTCCTCGATCAGGTTCTTTAGGTCATAACACTCCTCGGTGTCATGACCATAGTTGTGGTGGAACCGGTAATAGTTGAAGTGATCTCTGAGCTAGCACAAAGTTTTCATCGGGTTGGGCACTCTTAGGAGCCCCTTCTCTCTGATCTAGAGGAAGATCTCCATTCTGGATGAATTCAAGGGTGGAAGAGGTGGCCTCAGGAGCAGCAGCTCGTGTCGGTCGAGCCTTCTTCTTGGTGGGCCTGAGGGCTACCCTCGGAATTGCTCCATGCGAGGCCTCTTGTGTTCCTTACACTTTCCTGCCACTAGGGCCTCTGCAACTATGTACTGATTTGCACATTGGAGCATCTCGGGGATGGTCACCACCAATCACTCAACCAACCACCAAAAAATTTTGGATAGTCGCACACCCATCAAGAATGCTTGCATGATCAATGAGGGGTGCGTGTCGAGAACTCCTTATATCTCAGCGACGAAATGAGCGACAAAGTGAGAGAGGGGTTCGTCGTCCTTCTGACTCAGACTAAGGAGCTTAGCTGCAAATGGTTTTGGCCATGCACTAGCTAGGAAATTGAGCTCGAATTCCCTTGTAAGCTGGTTGAAAGATGAGATCGAGGCTGGCATAAGTTGGCTATACCACATCCGAGTCAAACCCCGAAGAGTGGTGGGAAACGCCTGACACATCAGGGCATCGGAAGTACCATATAGGGCCATTTGAGCCTAAAAGGTGGCGACATGCTCTACCAGGTCGGAGCCACCATTGTAAGCCTTAAGCGTAGGGAGGCGGAAGTTTAGTGGTATCGATTTGTCCTAGATCTCTTTTATAAAGGGAGACCCTATTGAGGAGGCTTCCCTAAGCTCTTGGACTTATCAAACTCCCTTTGGACCTTGTTCAAACATCAATTGACCGAGTGCAACTGAGCTCCGAGAGAGTCCACCGAGTCAGATGATAGGGTGTCAGGATTGGGGCAGCTCGGGATGGTGCATCGGAGGCCTAGGTCGCTGTGCTCTGTTGTTGGTCTCGGGTTCCCCGATTACTCCTCAGGTGACAGATTCACATCCGTTGCTCTAGGTTGGTGAGGGACTAGAGATGGCTCTCGTGGCACGGTGATAGGGGTCGGTGGGTCCCACGACGGCAACGGTTTAGGCAGTACCGACTGCTAGGCATGTTGGGGGATGAGGGGGATGATAGTCTTCATCATCCCTGCTAAGGCTTGGACTTTGTGAGTGAAGCTTAGGAGCACCTCGGCTGAGACAACAGGTTGCCCCATGGTGGTCTCGGGAGGTGACAGCCCAGGATCATTGAACAACCGTCAATAGCGGCTCGGGGTTGCAACCGAGGTATTCCATTCTAGGCTTGGAGGAAGTGAGAGCTGTCATCCAAACCCGAAGGTCAGATGAGTCGGAAGTGGCTCTTCTCCAACGTGCTCTCTCAGGATGCTCAGTTGGGGGCGTTCTTATGACATCGGGCTCTCCTTCTAGCGCTAAAATATTGGGAAACCTTTATGTCGTAACTGAGGTATTAGCACGGCTCGGTCCAATCATAAATAAGCAAAGTTGCCCATGCAAATGCTTGGATAGTAGAACTAGGCATCGGGTTGGGTTGGGTTCGAGCCTCGTCTCCCGAGTGCAGTCTTCTCCCTTGGCGAGTTGCCTGCTTTTTTATCGCTGAGTTCTTATACATAAGCCAAAGTCGGGAGAGGAATTTCCTAACTCGATCCCTCCAAAGTTTAAGTTAGTGTTGAGTGGAATTAGGGGGAGTTGAGTGCTCGAAATCTCTCTCGGGCTTGGTTAGGGGGTTGGCTTTTAGACATACGAATAAGGGTTGATTGTACATATTCCTTTAATGGTTGTCAACTTCTTGGGAGGATGACTTGTACCCTACGGATGAACATCGATGGATATGTACGGATCCGTGCTGTGCGGCACTGTTCCGAGCTTTCCGGAATGACTCTGTGGTGTTCGATGCTGACTTGTATGGTGTCGAATAGTCCGAGGGAGTGTGATCGTCTCATTCCGGTCCGAGGTGTTGTGTGGTGTCAACTTGTAGGTCCTTTGTTGGCCTTGTCATAGTCACCATATGCTGCCACGTGGATGGTGGAGAAATGTGCCACATCAATTACATATTACAATCGGCACCATGTTTTGCGACAGAAGAGAGAGAGAGACTAAAAAAATTACCGAGAACTCATTGAGATAATCAACAATAGCATTAACATTATTCAATCTAGAAACATCAAGAACGTTGACAAGGGAGAAAATGCATACAACGATCAAATCAAACGAATGAATAGAAAGAATGATGATGATGATAAGGAAAAGCATGCAGCATCGGTTCCCTATCTAGTTTGATATCCTAGAAATGAGCCTGAATCAGGTCTACGATCTTCTTGTCCACCCCGAGGGCCTTAGCGAGGATATCATCCGAGATGGCCGGTTTGGAGCCGAAGACGGAATTGGCAATGGTGATCACCCCCGGGTTTTGGCTGCTGAGACCGGAGAGTGCGACGGCCTTGTTGGTGCCGTAGTTGAACTGGAAGTGGATGAGGCCTTGGGGGAACACAAACACATCACCCTTGCGAAGCACTTTGGTGACGAGCCTGTTGTCGGGGTTGGAGGTGACGAAGCCGACGTAGAGCGAGCCTTCCAACACCGTCTGAATCTCCGTCGCCCGGGGATGGATGTGAGGAGGGTTAAGGCCAAACGGCGCGTAGTCCACCCGGGCCATGGAGATGCCGAGGGTGTTGAGGCCGGGAATTCGGTTCGCGTTTAGGAGCGTGACGTTGGAGCCGACTTTGTTGGTGGTGTTGCGAGGCTGGTCGAGACCGGAGAAGAAGAAGTCCTCGGCTTTGACGAGCTTTGGATCCTTGCAGACAAATCCGTTGACGAACACTGCATGAGTTGAAGCAGGAATCAGCATCTCGAACCATGATAATAATTAACCCGATCACAGGGACATCGATAAGCTGTTAGTATAATACCATTGGATGTGTTATCCGCAACACACAAGTCCTGGAGAGCACCGGGATCGCGGGCCATGGAAGGGGAAGAAACCAAAGCAAGGAGAGCGGCGAGGAGGAGGATGCCGTAGGAAGCAGCCATGGCTTTACAACGAGAGAAGTTTACTTCTTGGTGGCAGAACAAGGAGGGGGTAGATGCATATATATATAGATAAGGAGATGGGTAAGGGAGACTTGGCAATAAGAAAGCGTCGGGGTTTATGGCAGCTCTAACAATCAATGATATCCGCCGGCAAATGATTGACCGAACAAGTCATCGTTTGCGTGTGCCTCCAAGAAGAACAATTAAAACTTTGATGCAGTCCGCTACATAACCTCATCCGTGTTTGATTCTTTTGCTTTACGACCATGAAGATACATCTCTTGATGACGGAAATGGTCAAAGAGAAGCTAATTAATTGAGGACGTTACGTGGTGAAGCAGATGATGGACTTCATCAAACACATAGTAGTTGTTGTTACACAGCACTCGTAGTTGACTTCTTCTAGCTCAGGCCGGCTATGAATGCTTTCCTCTTCGACGGGAAAGCGTCAACTCTTCCGGCGTGGCCAAGTCTCACACACCTTCGATCTCCATATATATCCATCTGCACCATTCTATTCTGCCATCAAATTACAGATTGCTTCTCTTCTCTCCTTGCTTCCTTGCTCTCATTACGCGGTAGCACAAATCAAAGACATGGCTGCGTCCTACATCCTCCTCCTCTCTGCTCTCCTTGCTTTGGCTGCCTCTCCAGCCATGGCTGGGGATCCCAGTGCCCTCCAAGACTTTTGTGTCGCGGACAACACATCCGATGGTATACGGCCTATTTAATGTACTTGCGATGCGGTTAATTATTATCATGTATCGAAGATGCTAATTGGTGCTTCAACCTATTCAGTGTTTGTGAACGGATTAGCCTGCAAGGATCCAAAGCTCGTCAAAGTCGAAGACTTCTTCTTCTCCGGTCTCGACAAGCCTCGCAACACCACCAACAAAGTCGGCTCCAACGTGACGCTCGTAAACGTGAACCGAATTCCCGGCCTCAACACCCTCGGCATCTCCATGGCCCGAGTGGATTTCGCACCTTACGGCCTTAACCCTCCTCACATCCATCCCCGGGCGACGGAGATCCTGACGGTGTTGGAAGGCTCGCTCTACGTCGGATTCGTCACCTCCAACCCCGACAACAAGCTCTTCACCAAAATGCTCACCAAGGGTGATGTGTTTGTGTTCCCCCAGGGCCTGATCCACTTCCAATTCAACCATGGCACCAAGAACGCCGTCGCGCTTGCGGCTCTCAGCAGCCAAAACCCCGGGCTGATCACCATCGCCAATGCTGTCTTCGGATCCAAACCTGCCATCTCGGACGATGTCCTCGCTAAGGCATTTCAGGTGGACGAGAAGACCGTACATCGGATCCAGGCACAATTCTAGGAACACAAACTAGCCAGACATCTGCTGCATGCTGCATACTGCTACTTATCCTCGTTCTTTATTCTTCATTCATTTATTTGTCGTGTGCTTGATTTTTCCGCTAAATAAATTTCGATAAAGTTTTTTTGTTCTCATAGCAATAAATGCTCAACAATTTGTTGAAGGAGTTTATGTTGCATATTTGTCATCCAGATTTTTGGGAAATTGAAATATATTAACCATACTCAACAATCAAACCCTGGAAACTCTCTCAACTGTCACTGTCATGTTCCGTCGCACCCAGGTCTAGCCGACTATGCATCGACACGTGCCACCTATGGTCATCGCGGTGCCACCCACATCACCACCCATGGTGAAGTCATCACCCACAACCGCTAGTGATACAACTTGCTCGTCGACATCATCGTTCTCTTTTTCACTACTCAACAATTGAAAATCATAGCCTACGACGTCCAATCAATGTCAGCCGCATCCAATAGATGCTACAGCGATGTTAATGCTATCGCCACACACAGCGCGAGACTGTCACGTTGCACGATGATTCCGCTGAGTATGCAGCTGTTGCCGGCTAGCGATAACCAAAGGTCCCTGCCCCAATAATACTATCGGTAATAGTAAGACATCGAGTGATCAAATATATATCAACAGATTTGTTTATTTTTTTAAATAAACTCGTTAAGAATCATCATGATATTAATAGTTTATTATAATTTTTAATTATATCGATATGAAAATAAGTTTTTTGAATGAGAATCTTGAAGTAACCTAAATGATTTGTAAAGTAAGAATCTTATAATTGTACAAACAAAGAGTTATTACTGTTGGAGAACCTTTATATCATGGTCGAGGTGTCAGCATAGTTCGATCCAATTCTGGATGCATAAAGTCACCCACGTGAATGCTTGGATAGTAGAAGTAGGCATCGAGTCGGGTTGGGTTCTGTTAGGACTGTTTTGGGTAGAGGGGGCTTTCGTAAAAATTATATCGATTCAAAAATTTCTTTCGATAAAGGTAATATCGAAAAAGAGTTTAACTTAAAACATTCATAAAGTAGTAAGCAATTAAATCAGTTAGTAATAAGAATGAAAAGCAAAACAGAAATACAAACCAAATTTATAATAGTTCGGTCATCGCTACATACATCTACTCTCATTCCTCTTCCTTCGAGACTATTGGCATTCACTAATGATATTCTTTCAATGGGCAAAAACAAACTATTCTCTTACAACTCTTTCTCATTTTTCTTAGGTTTAGGAGATAACCTTTACAAGTCTCACAAAAAGATCACAAAACTATAAGAAGGAGGAGAACTCTTAATACTTTTCAAGACTTTTTCAACTCTAAATTACTAACCTTTTTGTTCACTTTTTATGCTTTTGCAAACAGGAAAGTGTGGGGTATTTGTAGGCCTCAAATGACTTCAAAAATAGAGCCATCGTCATTACTAGGCTGTACCACCATATGCTAGATTGATAACTAGTGGTACCATCGTTTGCCAGATTAACACTAGGTGGTATCATTGCCTAACATTGATGGTACCACCATCAGGTCTTTCGAAAGAAATACATTTCATACTTTTCTAGCTCATAAGCAGTTCCACTGCCTGGTCGTGGTGCCATTGTCTGACCTAACCTTAGGTTACTGAATGGGCCTCCCAATGAGCCCAACTCAACCTTAGATCAGACCCAATAGGCCCTAAATTGGGTTATCATGGTTACCCTCCGAAACTGACTCAATTAAACCTAAACTACTTCGATCTAAACACACACGATTACAAGACTAGAATACTATGTTGTCCGGTATGTAATTGGTTCATCCAATGCTTCGTCTGATTCTTCGGTGCATTGTCTTCTCCTTCGGCGTATTATCCAATCGACATGTTGACCTCCCGTAACATTCGATCTCTTTAGTGCAATATATGATCTTTCGGTCTGATGCTTAAACTCATGACATGAAGTCCTTCTGGCACATTGACCAGTCCTTCAACCCGATGTCCAATCTTCTAACATGTTCCACTATGGCCCAACGTTTGATTCTTCTTGTTTTAATCGAATTATCTTTCTATGATCGAAGTTAGTCATGCGTCACTCAAACGTACATTTGATCATAACTTCCATTGATTTCTTTATCAAAATCCAAGTATCAACAATCTCTCCCTTGGAAAAACTACCTCGAGTGGGAGCACTGCCTCAGTCCTGAATGCTAGACTGAAGGGTGACTCTCCCATGGCATTCTTTTGTGTGTTTGGGATGCCCATAGGATGCTCGGGAGTTCATCAACCCACATGTCATGCGCCTCGATAACCCTTCATTTAGGCCTTCTAGTATTGTTTGGTTGGTCACTCCGGCAAGGCCATTGGTTTGGAGATACTCTACTAAGTTGAATCTTAGTTGAATTTTATAATTTTGGAAGAACTTCTTGAATTTTGTGTTATTGAATTGGGCTCCATTGTTCATGATGATGGCCTTTGGGATGTCGAACCAAGTGATAATGTTTTTCTAGACAAAGCCTTCGACTTGTCTTTGGATGACGGATGCTAAGGGCTCGGCCTCGACCCATTTGGTAAAATAATCCATCTTGACGTTAAGGAATCTTCGTTGTCTTGAAGTTGGAGGGAAGGGGTCGAGGAGATCCATTCCCCATTATGCAAATGGCCATGTGCAATCTATCGAGGTCAGGGGTACCACGGGCTAATGTTGCACTTAAGCATGCTTTTGGCATTGCATGCATCGTTGCATATAGGCAACGGTGTCCCACCGCATGGTCAGCCAATTGTAGCCTTGTATGAGGATTTTGAAGGCTAAAGTATGGCCGCTGATATGCTCCCCTCAAATGCCCTCATCCTTTTTGTAGTAGAGAATGTCCTCCATCCATCTTAGAGTCACTTCGGTTATGGCGATATCCTTGGTTGCAATGGTTCAAAAGGAGAGCTTTTCGACCTCCCGGCCCAAGGCGAGTTTTGCTAGTGCATCTACTTGTGTGTTCTGTGCTCGGGGCACCCTTATCACCGTGAAGTGTTGGAAGCGAATTGCCAGTTTATCACGGACTTAGCTGGTTTTGCCTAAGTCGTGCGGCACCCTTGCGTGTCCGTCCGCAAAGGTCAGTCTTCCCGAAGCCTTCCATTGTCCCTTAGGACCAACAAAAGAGAGAACGGGTTACAGAGAACACCTCAATCGGGATCCATAAGCAAACATCTCTGAAAAACACTTCATAGACAATGCAAATTACAAACAGACTTTACAAGCTCAGAACAGTTGCACAACAAAGGGTAAAATGATCCATTACAGATCGAGAATCTCTCACACGTGTCCATATGACACAACCTTTATTTACAAGCCTAAAGAGGCCACCAACCTAACTAAAATGAGACTATTAAGCCTTCGGCCGTCCCTCTACATGTTGTACAAGGCATGGATATGCTAAAAAGACACGGACATGCATAAGCATTACATCAAACATCATGTTTAGAAGTTTGTCCATGACATTCTCCCCCACTTATTCCTTCGACGTCCTCGTTGAAGCCTTTGTCGACACTGCAACTCCTCACCTTTGCTGAGTCTTCAATCTTCTGCTCCAGCTACAATGCGCCTCTTGGCTCCCATCTACTCTCCGTTGCTGTTTTTGAGTAGTCGAACCTTTGATCCGCCATGCTGCTTCAACTCGCCAATGACTCTTGACTCTAGTGTGGGGTTGGCTGAGTTGTATTGATCCCTGTTGGTTCCTGCGGATCCTCCAGATGAAGGAAAAAACCATTCTTACTGCGCTAGTCTCTCAAATGCCTCATGCTGCTTGAACTGGGTGGATGCTTGTTGGAGCTTTAACGAGCATCGTCTCGCAAACTTCTGAAGTTTTGGGTCCTTCCTCCACAATATTTGCTCATTGACTCTTCTTTCACTTAGTTGTCACATCCAAGTAGGTTCGCATCACTTTCGCATTCGATTGACATTTCATTGGGAAATGAAGCGGACAATCTACTCTCAGTAGCACTGATCACCGTTGGTGAGGATTTGACAACTATTGTCTTCCATTATCTTCGAAGGGTTTTTGAACTTGTGCAGAGCTCCTCTGCTGGATAGATAAAGAGAATTGGGGTACTCGGTTTCGCCCATTCTCTTAAGAGTTGAGAAGGCAAATGATAGATAAGAGAATTGGGGTATTTGGCACCATGTTTTGCGACAGAAAGAGAGAGAGACTATAAAAATTACCGAGAACTCAATGCGATAATCAACAATAGCATTAACATTATTCAATCTAGAAACATCAAGAACGTTGACAAAGTAGAAAATGCATACAACGATCAAATAAAACGAATGAATAGAAAGAATGATGATGATGATAAGGAAAAGCATGCTGCATCGGTTCCCTGGCTAATTTGATATCCTAGAAATGAGCCTGAATCAGGTCTATGATCTTCTTGTCCACCCCAAGGGCCTTAGCGAGGATATCATCCGAGATGGCCGGTTTGGAGCCGAAGACGGAATTGGCAATGGTGATCACCCCCGGGTTTTGGCTGCTGAGACTGGAGAGTGCGACGGCCTTGTTGATGCCGTAGTTGAACTGGAAGTGGATGAGGCCTTGGGGGAACACAAACACATCACCCTTGCGAAGCACTTTGGTGATGAGCCTGTTGTCGGGGTTGGAGGTGACGAAGCCGACGTAGAGCGAGCCTTCCAACACCGTCTGAATCTCCGTCGCCCGGGGATGGATGTGAGGAGGGTTAAGGCCAAACGGCGCGTAGTCCACCCGGGCCATGGAGATGCCGAGGGTGTTGAGGCCGGGAATTCGGTTCGCGTTTAGGAGTGTGACGTTGGAGCCGACTTTGTTGGTGGTGTTGCGAGGCTGGTCGAGACCGGAGAAGAAGAAGTCCTCGGCTTTGACGAGCTTTGGATCCTTGCAGACAAATCCGTTGACGTACACTGCATGAGTCGAAGCAGGAATTAGCATCTCGAACCATGATAATAATTAACCCGATCACAGGGACATTGAAAAGCTGTCAGTATAATACCATCGGATGTGTTGTCCGCGACACAGAAGTCTTGGAGAGGACCGGGATCGCGGGCCATGGCTGGAGAGGAAGCCAAAGCAACGAGAGAAGCGACGAGGAGGAAGACGTAGGAAGCAGCCATGTCTTTACAACGAGAGCAAGGAAGAACGAAAGAAGTT